ACGCAAAGTCACTTACCTGCTTTCCCTCACTAGGTAACAAACCACGCTTAAAAATCCATCACACTTCTGGAAATGGAAACCATCTCTCTGCACTTAAAGTGTGGATTGATTTTAAACATGCACCTCTTTATATACTCCCATCCCTGAGATTGATTTGTGGAGTTTATGTTGCTCCGTTTAGATGACAGTCATGGGAAGAGAAGACGAGTGTTTTTGAATGAAGTAGCGAGCTCTCACAAGGGAAATTATGGGCAATTTTACATCTCGAGATTAGAATAATGGGTGCTCAAGTCAGACAAGCAGAGAAAAGGGGCTTTCAAACAGGGCAATTACGTGGGAAGCTGATTTGGGAGAGCACTAAAGGGTGATGGGATGGACTGATTTCCAGCACTTTGTGGTGCCTGGTGAGTTTTCATTGTGGTGCATCAGCGTTTGCGGAGAACGAGTCTTCGGTGAATGGATTTAGAGGCCTGGAGGAGATCTGAAGGACAAGGATGAAACCGGTTCCCAAAATCTTCCCCAGTTTGGGGGGTGAAAAAGAGTTCAGTGGCTCACAGCTGTCAAGAAAACCTCTCTCATTTGATCTTATTTACAATTGGAGCAGAACGATGCTGCTGAGTGAAGCCTGTGGACTCGGGCTCTGAGCGAGTGTCAGGCAGCTGCCCTCTGTCTCTACATGGCAACATATGCATGTCCCAACCGCAGTTGACCTCCTGTTCAACCACCCCAGAGGCCTAAAGTACCATTTTTGGGATATGGTTTCTCATCATACACGTAAAGATTGGCCCTGCCTATCTTTATTTAGGTGTTAGTATCATGTTCAAGTTCAACAGTTCAGGCACGGACGGAGCACACGGGCCGAGGTGACCATGTCAGCCCACACACCCAGCTTGGCTACGGGTTTCTCTGAGTGAGCGATGTGTCCCAAGATGATGCCACCTAGATCACAGCCCGTAATTGAAGGCCACACACCACGAACAAGTCCAACCGAAAGCAGATACGTTACACATGGCCCAACTACAACTGCAAATATTGTATCAAACAGATAACAGCCGTTTCTTTATGGACCCTATGGCATAACTACCTCAGATGAAAGTGGTAAACACATTAGAGGGGATAAAATGTCTTAGGGTTTGAGCTATGGCTATTGTACACAGATCACGGGATTATCATGTTTTAAAGAGAACTAAGTGGCCTGACAGGTTTTAGGTGTGAATATGACTCTTTCTTCTCTGTTGGAGGTAGGAGAGTAACCCAATCGCATGCAACAGCGAGGCGGGTATTATAAGATCGTCATGACGAATTCCACAGCTATGAAATGACCAGAAATGACTCGCAGCTCACCAACCAACAATCTTAACCATCTCGATCTGTCATGCTATTAATCTAACTACAGTGGCAGCTCACGTTTTTTCTTTTCATCCCTGTCAGCATCAGCATCCACATCCACCTATGCTTTGGATATCACAGCGGTATTTTTGGATGCAAGATTTACAGTGCTGGTCACGCAGATGGACTGTTTATGCGTCTTGTTACTAAAGCTACAACGGTTGTTGTTAAACAGAATTGAGACTTTCATGTGGAACATCTCTGAATATTTAAAACTATTGGAACTACTTTATTTCCATTAAAATTCCAAATGGGGGTTTTCAAAAAGAACCATTTTTGGCTCCTTGAAAAACCTTTCAGTGAAAAGTTCTTAAAATAACCATTTTTCCTTGTGTGAAGAACATTTAAAAAATCTAAAGAACCTTTTCCACTATAAAAGAACCTTTTGTGGAATGGAAAGGTTCCATGGATGTTAAACGTTCTGCATGAAACCATCAATGCCAAAAACGAACCTTTATTTTTAAGAGAGTATTTGGCTTCTCCCAACGTTTTGTCCTAAAGAAAAACTCTTGCCATGAGGTCCTGTGTGAGTGCCCATAAATTACCCATCTCCATATTCATATTCCCAAGAGAATGGTGGATACATTGATATTCCAACATCATTGCCTACTTTATAGGAAGTACATTGAAAGTACATTTTAATAACCAACCAAACTCGTAGAACCAATCCACGAACTTGGAAAACAATTCTGTTGAATCTCTGATGAATACAAGTAATATAATATAGGCGATAGGCCTATCTGAATAAGAATAGCTCTATTAAAGATTCCAGTCATGAAAATTGAACTAATTTTCATATTGGATCACGTTTTAGTAGTTACAGTTCGCGTAAGGGGGTTGAATGATGAACCGCATTAGCGGTTAGTTTTATGATTTCTGCATGAAATCAGATTATTTATGGTTTCTGTGGTTCAAATTATGGTTTTGCGCCCATTCCACGTAAAACCAAAGGGCATGTTGCACGACCTAAACTTGAACGAAGTCTGCTTTCTATTTTTCACAGTCATGATACAAGAAGCCGAGACTTTTAATATTTCTTTCATCATATATTCAGAAGACTGTCCCTTTTTCTGTAAAGTACCAGACTTGGTTAATTAGATACAGCACACGGTGTTCAGACAACACCTAGCAATTAACATTTTCTGAAAGTCTGATATGCATAGTGACTGTTTTTGATTATATTTAATTGACAGTTGTAATTAAAAGCACAAAAGTTGAAGGTAAACAAACGGTCTGAGACATTAAAAGCACAAGATAAGACGAATTAATCATGTTTACGGAACACTACGTGCTATATTCCAAAATTATAATGACGTCGTTATAATTTTGATCTCTGATTTTAGTCAGTGTAACACTTTACACTATAATATCTTTGAAACATTAACCATCAATTTTACATCCTATAGGATGGTTAACAGGTCGTTAATGTAGCTTCACTGAAGTAATTAGAAATGTCATAAAACCAAGTTACGTTTTCATAAATGAATGTAGGCCTACATGATAGCCTACGTTAGCCTGTAATGTTTGTACGTTGCAGTCTTTAAGTTAGCCTACTATTAACTGTTACCCAAAACTTTAATGATCAGTTATGAGTAAATAATAGAGCACATAAAACGACCATTGTCTATTTTTAATTTTTAATTGTATTATTAATTGCATCACTACACAAAAACTAGATGCTGAAATGAAGTGATTTTTCACATATTTATTTTGCTTATGTACTAAAATATCATAAATTGATAATAGCCATAAGTAGTTTATATTTTCCACAATTTTCTCATAAACATAAGGTGCATTTCATCTACCCATATGGTGTACAGTTGAAACAATGCCATGGTACAGTTGAGACACCCATTCCTAATGCTCTAAAGCTGGCTAACCATTTATTGCAAATGTAATAAATTACAAAATTACAGTTATGCATTTAAAAAAAATCTGATTTATTTATTTGCTTTATTTAATTCAGATTCAGTTAAACAAATAGGAACACATATTTAACACTAAAAGATATGGCAAACAGTATAAATGTAAACATAACAGTAAAAATAACAATATATATACCCACATATTCTATAACCCTACCCATAAATCTACCCATTACTCGAAACTTTCTGCATTTTTTAATTTTTTAATCATTCTGTATGAATTATAAGATCGTTTCCTCATGGGGACCTAAAAATTGTTCCCATAAGGTTAGAATTTACTGGTATTACTATACTTGTGGGGACATTTGGCCCCCATAACGTATGTAATACCAGTACACAAACACACACAGCCTCTGAATATGCATTTTATTTTCTATGATTGAACTGTTACTGTATACATAGCGACCTATAAAGGGTGTATCAACTGTACCCACTTTACCACCTTGTATTTTTCTTAAAATGCTATGTAATCTTTTTAACCTTCATGTTAGAAAACATGTCCATTAATAATAGACAGTTAAAATATCGCAAATATCATTTTTAACAGAATTTGCTTAGCATGTGTGTAAATGTGACTTTTAGCCTATTATCATAACACTGTACAACTAAACAGCATGTGAAGCAATAGGACACCAATCCGGGTATACAGTTGATACACTGTGTCTCAACCGTACCCCACTGAGATACTCGCACGTTTCTCTAGATTATGAAAAGACCTTGCATGGCACAATATCTATTTTTAGAGCACAGATTAAAGTTTGCAATGATATATGGTAAGTTTAACAATCATAAAAGACTAATAAGCTATTCGTTGTGGAAAGGACATGGTGAAATGAAAATCTCACCTTGTAAAAAAAACTTTTGCCGATATTTTCGGAGTGGAAAGGCGCACACATTTCAAATTTCCCACGGTCAAAGAGAACACTAATACACATGTGTGGAGCAAAAATCACGACTTGGGGTTCTTGTGTATGCAAGTTATTTAAGGTGTTTCAACTGTACACATGTCTCAAATGTACTCAGTCTACCCCTACACGGTAAAAGTCGAGTTAAAAATGCTCTAAATTCGAACGTACAGGAACTTTGAATGCGTTAGCCAATATTATGTGGATATTCTACGTACATTATTACACAACGTCATTACACTGTCTTACAGACCGATATTATGTATTGGTATGAAAAAGAAACCAAAACCGCGGAAAGGAGCAATCTGGGAGGGTACGTGTTAAATGCCAGTTTGAAATACCGTCGCTCTGTAATTTGCATATACCTGTAGGAACCTCTTGGGGTTTTTCTAGGCCTACGTCTGATACCTTTGTTTGCCCTGTCTATTCTTGTTGTGACCGACTATCCCTAAAGCTCAGGGTTTTATTTCAGTAGTCACCCGCTCCTTCGCTGTAGTCTATCTTGTTATCTGCCAACAGAATACTAATAAAATCCAGTGACTCCAACATGTCTGCTCGCATGTCGCCTCCTACAGCTTCTTTGCACGCAGCCCTACCAGGCTTATACATGCAAACACATCACAAAATAACATCTGTCTGACTTAACCCTTTCCTAATAGCCCAAACAATGCGATATCACGGCAAACTTCAGATTTGTAAATAATATCAAACGGAATTTTGCAACTACTCAACTCAGGGAAGCTGCATGTGGTGGCAGAAAGCAAACAGATCAAACGAAGAAATGTTTTCAATTCGCATTTATTCAGTTTGACAGAATAACAATACAACTACTTACAGGAATATAAAATGGTTCGAGCACCACCGCGCAGTCTCTGAAGTAACACAAATTTAGTGGTTCAGTTTTATTTAAACACGTATGTACAGCTTTCAACATTTTGTACAAGTCTTTATAACTTATGTCCTGAGTCTCTGACGCGTGCCACACCAGCCCACATTGTGGGTGGGGAGGCTGATAACAACTAAATTTGGGGTTCAATCGTTCTTTAAACATTTTTAATATGTACCTATCAATGAACAAAACACGAAGATAAAGAAAGTCATAAAACATAATAATTTAAATCCACTCTGAACTTCCTTTACATTGTTTAACCTACACCTATGTGCATATGAAACAGGTCTGAGTAGCAGGTACACATTAAAACATTGTTATTAATATTACACTGTTATTTCAACACAAAGCATTCTTAACGACATATATGCGTTTAAATAGTCCACAAAATGCCAACACAGGTGTGCTGTTCCACTCCAGATAGGCTACTTGTGAAGCATCTTTCAGCTTATTTTTGTTGAGTCTTTCCAAAAGTCTTTTCCCTCTTATATTAAACTCTTCCGTCAGTGTCTGTTAATACACAGCCCCAACGCTCTGTGGTGGTCCTGGGTGGTGCACTGGATGCTGTAAATGTGATCCCTGCTGGTACCAGTGATTGCTGTAATCTTCCATGTAGGGGGGTGTGGAACTGAGGGGTGGCTGGGGGATCTGTCCCCGGTTGACCTGGCTAGAGTGCGCGTTATTGTCCCAAACAGCCGGGGATGGAGGGGAGTTGCAGGCCATGGAGTCGCTGGCGTTCGGGCTGTGCTCCAACGGAACCTCGCCGTTTTTGTAAAGTTTCTTGAACTTGGACCTCCGGTTCTGGAACCAGATTTTGACCTGTTCAAAAATGAAAAGCAAGTTCACGTCAGTTTTCTTTTGGACACTGCAAACAATAGTAGCATAGGAAAATTCTTTTTTTTTTTTTTAAGAAAAACCAAGGTGCTGCTAAAGTGGCCTTGAACCCCCCACAAAGGAAAAAAAGGCTGGGAGATTTTGGTAAATATAAACCTATACATCATATATATATATATTTTTTTTATATATATAAAAACAACAGTGTTTGATCATTTCAGTAATATAATTAATGATATATACAATTTCAATATTTTTGACAATTTGTGTAGCGAATGTATGCGATTGAGTATGCATGTAACGTAGTTATACTTTTACAGATCACTAATATTGGCTACAACAAACACTTAAAAGTCGTTTAGGTACGTGACGTTTATCTCGACAGATTGCGCCTCGAAAATACGTTAAGGCTACATTTATATAATGTATCAGACTTATGAAATCCTTAAAAAAAAGCTGAAATGTTTAAAATAGTCATTACATAATATACACTGACATTTTGAATTAAATCACTTATGAAGAAAATTGAGGTGAAAATATTCTTAAATGGATAAAAACAAAGATGTCATTAGAACATAATGATGACTGTATAGCCTATACATTACAGTGCACATAATGCCTATATGTTCAGACATAAATAAGATGTCGATTTGTAATGGCCATATGACACTACCCACAGCGATATCTTTTGAAAAATGATAACCAAAGAAAATGATTTCCACATATTTTTGTTGCAAACACTGCAAATAAATAACGATTATTAATTTATTAATTATGATGGTAAAAATACGAGCAATAACGTTTCAACACATAATGACCTGATAAGATTATCCTTATCTCAGCGTGCTCAGTGTCAGCGACAGAAGGAAATCGCTTTAAGCTGTTAACGCAACGTCAAGTGGCAGCCCAGTAATTATATCAACAGTATTGTAAATGAATTTGAGCTCCAGTATTACCTGTGTCTGCGTGAGCCCCAGCTGTGCGGCGAGCTCGGCTCTCTCCGGCAGCGCCAGATACTGCGCCTTCTGGAAGCGGCGCTGCAGTGCGGCGAGCTGGTAACTCGAGTAAATGGTGCGCGGCTTGCGGATTTTCTTGGGTTTTCCGTTTACCATCCGAACTTCAGTCTCTGGTTCTTCTTTGACTGGAAAGAATACAATTATAGACCATGTTATGGCAAAGTAGGATCATTACAGCAGCTAAAAGAAAACCGAAAACCGATTGGTTTCATTTTGGGATTGTGACGCAAATTAAAAAGTCACTCAAACTCATAAAATACTCTCGTTAAATTAAACAAATCTGCTTCTTGAAAATTAAACGAGTGACATATGAGTAAAATAAAATGTATGTCAGCTCTGGTAGGCAGTATCAGATAAAGAAATGTCAATCTAAGAAATAAATACGGCATAGTTAAATCATCTTCAGTTTTGTAGGTATGGCTGTATCGTGTAATTCGTAGGCCTACTAAAATATCGTGACATCTAGCCTAGACTGAGCACCGAGTAATAATGACTAATCGCGATACAGATGCAATAAAAATGTCATAATTGTTTTACAGCGACCGCAAGTCTGTTGAGATAAAGTAGAGGCAACTTTCTACCCTGCTTAAATATAGTTTTTAAATAAATGACTTTAATGGGATGATAATAATATAGAGTAAATGCAAAACAACCAAACAGGTAAATAACTCGATTTACACATGTTTTTTTTCAGTGTTTTTACACGTTTCTCAGTAATCGAGCCGCTCAAAACACAGTTTTATAATCTTTAGAAACGCCTGTTTTATACCGATATTAAGACGATAAATGCTGCCGATTTAACAATGCATATAGCCTACCTCTGGCATATTTAAAAACAAATAAATGCTACATAAATATCTCACCTGCGCTTTGTGGTGGCGTCTGCAGGTCTCTGTTGTACTGTCCGTATTGTCTGAAAGTATTGTAAGGGTACTCTGTCTTGGTGGGGTAAGGTCCAGCTGATGCCCCCATCCCAGACAGATTAAACTGATGATATGAATTCATCTGCTGAGGGTATGGTGGATTCGGGTAGTATTCGTGATGGCTGCTGTAATAACCCATGTCTGTAGCCGAAGACTCTGGAAGAGTCGGAGAGTCCTTAGAAGTCGGATGGCAACTCATAGAGCCTGAAAGATCGGATGAAATACCAGGTATCTTCCTGTCATATGTCGGTCCACTCATCCTTTAGAAGAAGAAAAAACAACTACGATCGTCCACTTTATTTCCAAGGCAGACGTGAACAAAACATGCAGACGTTTAGTTTAGGACGATGCCTGTAACACAATATCCTCGATGAGCTGCTTTCTCGAACTCCCTCGGTTGAAGCACTGAAGGTAATGGCAGGGATCTAGCATGAGAAACTCTGAATTATAGGGCACTTGGGTGGACGCTCGGCTCCTATTGGCTCCACGCCTCTTGTGTTTTTTTCTTTGCGGCCATGGGGGCGAAGCAAAGACTGTTCTCCGCCTCGCGACTTAACGTCTCCAAACGTCCGCATTTGGGGACTTTAGCTGTTATAGTGATAATGAAGATGCGAAATGTTGCAGACATTTTAGCAGAGCTGAAGTAAAGTAAGTTCAGCTTCTGTGCAAGTTAGTAGCCTACAATAGAATTAGGCTACTTATGTTTTCTCGTTGCATTAAAATAGCGTAGAAATATATATCTCTATAGGCTATTTTAAATAGGCCTTCGTCGTTTTAATTCCAATAAATGTCCATTTTAAGTACATTATACACTCTAAAAAATGCTGGGTTGTTTCAAACCAACTTTGGGTCAAATATGGACTAACCCAACTTTTGGGTTAAATAATTGGGTTTTAATCATTTTTAGAGTGTAATATTTAATATGACTGAATCAACATTACATCCCAAAGAGTTTTTGAGGATATACAGTAAGTTAGAATATAGTTAAGGTAACAACTGCATGCTTTAAGGTCGAAGCAAAACTGTTTTTTTTCTAGGAAATGTTTTAAGTTTCACGACAAATACTAGTGCACTAGTGCTTTAAAAAACTAAGAAATCAATACATTTATCTGAAGAATCTGTAATGTAACGTATAATGTAATGTGACTATCTAGTATTATTGATGAATTAAGCAGTGACGTTCAGACAAAAACATTGAAATAGTGTCTGAGTGCTTTAGAAATATAAAACTTTCACCATAGTGTGTAATACATGCATGAAAATTAGCTCAGTGGTTCTCAATTCCAGTCCTGGGGTACCACTATTTAACGCACCTGATTCAGATCATCAGCTCGTTAGAGGGAGATCCATGAACTGAACTGAGGGCGTCAGATAAGAGAGACATACAAAATGTGCAGAGCAGTGGTACCCCAGGAGAGGAATTGAGAACCACTGAGCTATAGATCACTAAGACGGTAAGTTTTAATCAACTCTAAAATGTATAGGTTAATGTAAATATTTTATGCGTCTATATTTATGTGTACATTTGGCTATTTCCCTATATGATGTGTTAAAAAGTGTGTAAAAAGTAGAAGGGCATACATGTTCTTCCTTCCATCACACCCACTAACTAACTCATGAATGTGTATATACAGTATGTGTATGTATGTATATAGATATATATATATACACACACACAGGCCTATAACATATAATACAACATGCTAAAAACCCAACCCAACCCAAATCAGCCAAAAATCAACGAGATGTACAAAAACACTCAGAAAAGAAGAAGAAGAAAAAGTATAAAGGAAAGAAGAGAACTTGAACAATACTATATCTTTATTAAGGGGACAAATTTAATGTGGAAGCAGAATCATCTGAGACATCTCAGCTGTGCCTATTAAAAATAATCTCTTTTATTGACATCTTTGTTTCATTCATGCTATAAGGTAGAGTCTTCCCAGCTTGTTGTAAAGGCTGCTGTCGGAGCTCAGTGCATGGAAAAGAAAGGAAAAGCCCCCAGTAATTCACTCCCAGAGGACCACAGCTGTCAAAGGAGCAAATGACTGCCAGCTGTGGCTGGATGTTGTGAATGAAGCCTTTGCTTGATGCCGCAAAAATGTGTTCCAACTTTTTATCACAACCCTCTTTTGCTTCTTTACCCACAAGCATGAATATGAAGAAAAATGTCCACTAGCATTTACCATCTGTTTATGGTGAGCTAATGATTTCTGGGGATATTTCCGCATCTCATGCATTCATCTTTACCCCCTTCACAAGTTCAGCTGACCTCTGACCCTTAGCCTCACATCCTCTCCACCAAAGGGATCCCAGTTCACAGCAGGTGCAACTCTATACAGCTGCCCGTTCTTATGCAAAAAGAAAACACTCTGCTAGAGCATATATTCAGTTTTTTAAGATCATAATTTTTTTTTTAGCATTTCTCTTCTATGGTGCCATAAAATATAATTTCCTTTTTTCATTTAAAGGAATAGTTCACTCAAAAATTTTAATCAGATGAAAATGTACTCACCCGTAGACCATCCAAGATGTAGATGAGTTTGTTTCTACGTCAGAAAAGACTTGGGGATTTTTTTCATTTTTTGGGTGAACTTGAAAATTTGTAACTGTTGACATGCAATTACAAAGCTATAAAATGACGGTAGATATAATAGCTCAGATAATATGAAAAAGATAAAAATGAGAATGGTTTGATCTCAGACATGTGTGAGATAGATTACAAGGACACTATTAGCTAAGAAACGGGAGACCTCTTCATTTGCTCCCCATTACTGTCTAAACAAATGAGATGTAGATCATATACATGATATTTCTTTTCTTTTTGAAAAAAAAGAAAGAAAGAAAAAAACTGGCTTTAATAACTACATTGCCAAAAATGCTCACTCAAGGGTGTTCCACTGCCATCACAATTTTATTTAAAGATATTTGATATGCATCTAATCTGAAAGTCTATTTATTAAAAATATCACATTGCCTCTCTTCAGCAAGAATAGGATCTGCTGTGTTTTCTCTGAAGCTCTTGTGAAATAAGTGGCACAGAAGCAGCTGGTTTCTCTGGGTGACAGGAGCGGGCTTCACAGGAATGTGTTCACTTCTGAACTGCTGGACAGAACAGCTGTGGTGGGAGTGAAGGGGGTCCCTCTTCTCTTAATGAACTCCGTCATTGCATTCGATCTCTTCTCATTCTTCAGCGCCCCTCAAGCCCTCAGCAGCTACCCTGGTGGCATTTTGTGCAGCAACTGCTATATTGAAGATCTCAGTGTTCAAACCTTTTTTATAAATCAATCAACAAAACAAATGTGTGTGAATTAAGTCGCTAATTAAATCGCTAGTCTAGAATAAAAATGAAATAGAATGATGGGAGATATCTGTTTTGGTATCTAAATACAAATGTTATTACAATGCAAAAATAAATGTGAACTTATTTTTTTCTCTGAGGTTTAGAAAAAAAAAAGTTAAATAAATAAATGTATTAATTCAATAATTTAGATGTTTATTTCCTCAATGAAATGATAATTAAAAGTAAACTAAAAATACATATTTTATTATGCTTAATAATATTCATGTTAATAATAATAATTTGCAATGTGATACATTTTTAGTCAATCCATATCTCAGGAGTCCATTTACTCTGTAAAGACCCTGATCAATTTTCATTTGGGAAAAAGTGCCAGGCGTTTAAAAAAAAACGGTTAATTTAATTGCTTCATTAATTTCCTTTTGTCATGAAATTAAAATATGGAAATATGGTTTTATATGGAAGCCTGTTTCTGCCATGGTAAATAAATAAATAGCAACTTTTTATCTCATAATTCAGCCCTTTTTCCCCTTCACAATTGTAAGATGTAAACTCCGAATTCTGAAAAACAGAACAGCTGTGGTGGGAGTGAAGGGGGTCCCTCTTCTCTTAATGAACTCCGTCATTGCATTCGATCTCTTCTCATTCTTCAGCGCCCCTCAAGCCCTCAGCAGCTACCCTGGTGGCATTTTGTGCAGCAACTGCTATATTGAAGATCTCAGTGTTCAAACCTTTTTTATAAATCAATCAACAAAACAAATGTGTGTGAATTAAGTCGCTAATTAAATCGCTAGTCTAGAATAAAAATGAAATAGAATGATGGGAGATATCTGTTTTGGTATCTAAATACAATAAAATACCTTTTTCCCCTTCACAATTGTAAGATGTAAACTCCGAATTCTGAAAAAGGAGTCAGAAAACTTAGAGTTCTGACTTTTTTCTTGCATTTCAGAATTTCCACCTCACAATTCTGACTTTTTTCTCTAAATTCTCTCACATTTTCTGTCTGTTTGTTTGTTTCTGCTATGGAATAAAAAATGTTAGAACGACTTTTTATTTCACAATTTTTTCCTCACAAGAATGAGTGTATATATGAACTTTTCTTCTCTCATGGTTCGGGTGCGGGTTCCCAGTTTTCAAACCGTTCCGTGTGTTTCCACAGCATAAAAGAGGGTCCCGGACTGGAAAGATCACTTCAACTCCGTCCCTAAAACTTGCTGGTCTCAAGCGGAGGTGGATAAATTCTTACGCTGTCATGCTGAAATGTAATAAGTGTTACACTACATCGCTCTGCATGTCTAAATATTTATCAAACTGTGTGTACGTGAGAAACCCAGCGTATGAAAGAGCCAATGGACAGAAGTCACTGGTGTGGAGGACATTTTATTTCTATCTGAAATATTAATATTATTATTAGTATTATTTGCTTCACTGTACTAAAGAGTGTTCTTTCGACTGTCTCTTGAGTGCTTCAATTTGCTTCAGTATACTTGAGTTTTGATGAGCTGGGAGATAACAAGTAAGATAACCTAAGTGCAAGACAAGTGTGAGACAGGAAATGTTATTTTAGCTTAGCTTAGACCTGGCTTCGTAGAAATGCATCTGGAGGACATAGTTGGACACCTTAAATGGACGTTTATGTTGAATATGCATTATGATTGGATGAGATCAAAGCATCCATTTTTGATGAAGGGTATAAATGTTGAGTTGGGGTGTTTCCTCTTGGTCGCACTCTGCAGTCGACTTGGATGACTGTTGAACTTTTCTCGCAAACAGAATAAATATTCAAAAGACTTTTGTCTCATACCTTTATTGAAATAGAAAATTGCCACGTCACCGGCAATGTGACGTGCCAATTAAAACCTTGCCAATTAAAACATTCAAGAGATTTTAAAGAATTCCAACACAAGTAGATGCGAAAGAGCTCAACTGAGTACTTGCGTGCTGTGTTCACAGAGAGCCGCGTCTCAGACACACGAACACGAGGTTGAATTCTCTTTCGCGTCTTCTTGCAATTGAACGAACAAATACACCTCATCAATTTAAACATTCAAGCACAAAAAGACGCGAAAGAGTCTGAATTACTTTGTAGTTTTAACAATAATTAATCTG